TGTAGTAAATCCTCACCTGTACCCTACAATCCTAAAATTAGAAGAAAAAGCTCCCTGTGGCTAACCAGGCTGTTAATAAAACAAGGATGCTGTGATAAATATGAAAAACATTGTTTTTTGTTACCAGTTCCTGTCATAGTGCTTGTAAAAGTCAGAATTTCCTGAATGTGGGGTGTCTTCTGGTATTCACAATGAGCCCCTTTTCATCACACTTGAATTGATGCTGATGAGGTGACTTAGGGCAAGGGCCCTTAGACAACATGGGGTGAAGCTGGTCAACTGAAAGACCAAGGGATGAGTCTTTCAGTCCCACTCACTGACCTCTGGAAAGGGGAGCAGACTGAAGATTAAGCTCTATACAAACTCTTGATCAACCATTCTGACAAGCTTCTATCTTAATGATACATCCAGTGGCAGGGAGGGTGGCAAGCCCAAAGAGGGCATAGAAGCTCTGGACCTCCCATCCCTTACACCCTGCTCTAAGTCTCTCTTCCATCAGGCTGTTCCTGAGTAATATCCTTTATAACAAACTGGTAAATGCAAGTAAAGTATTCCCCTGAGTTCGGAGAGTCATCCTAGCAAATTAATGGAACTCAAAGAGGCAAGCCATGGGAACCCCAATTTATAGCAAGATAGTTCATCAGAAGTATAGCCGGCAACCTACTGCTTATGACTAGCATTTGAAGGTGGGAGGGGGAAACTGTTTTGTGGCATTTGAAGGGGGAAACTGTCTTGTGAGTCCTTAACCTGTGGGATTCTTCTCCAGTAGACAGTATCAGAATTGAACTGAATTGTGGGACATGCAGTTGGTGTCCAACAGAGATTTGCATGGTGTGTGTGGGGGATCCGGGGGGTACTTCTAGTCAAAGAAGTATTCTATGCTCTGCTGAGAATATAGTAGGAAAGAAACAGTATGCTTCCTTGAATGCCCAACATTCTAATTTCCTTGTACTTATCTTTCAAAAGAATAGACTTCCCACTCTAGTGGGAATCTGCCCGGGTAGAGGGGTCATACCTCATCAACAACGGTAGCTGCATAATGAACATTGGTATAAAATCAGTTTCTGAATATTAAACAAAAAGAATAGTCTTTATTTTTTAGAGCAGTTTTATGTTCACAGCAAAATTGAACAGATTTCCCATACACCCCTGCCCCTACACATGCATAGCCGCCCCCATTATCAACACCACCCACCAGAGGGGTACATTTGTCACAACTGGTGAACCTACATTGAAAGATCATTATCAAGTCCACAGTTTACATGAGGGTTCACTCTTGGTCGGTCCCTCCCTCCCTTTCTCTCTCTCTTTCTCAGTATCACTCTATCACCTAGGTTAGAGTGCAGTGGCAAAATCATGACCATCAAGGCTAATAGCAGTCTCAATCTACTGGGCTCAGGCCGTCCTTCTGTCTCAGCATCCCCAAGTAGCTGGGATCACAGGCACACGCCACTATGCCAGGCTTTTTTTTTTTTTTGTAGAGATGAGGTTTTGCTATGTTTATCAGGCTGGTCTCCAACTCCTGGGCTCAAATAATCTGCCCTCCTCCATCTCCCAAAGTGCTGGGATTACAAGTATGAGCCACCATACTCGGGGGTGTTGTACAGTCTATGCAATGACATGTGTTTATCACTACAGTATCATACGGAGCAGTTTTACCACTTTAAGAATCTTTTCTTAATATTCTAAGTCCACCCAGCCTTGTAGTCTTAACACATCTGCCACAGTGAGCAACCCCTTCCCTCTAATAAAAAAGGAAAAAGTTTACCAGATACAACTGTTTTGTGTAAAGACACAATTGCCTTGAGTAAAGTCTTCGTGAGAGTCAGCTAAATACAACTGCCTTGAGAGGTGTTTCCAGAAAAATCAAGAAATGTGTCCAGATTTGAACTTACATGAGGTGATGAAAAGGGAACAGCTGTAAGACATAACACACACCAGCAAGCTGAAGAACTCCGGAGAAACAGACAAGTGGTTTCTAGGAGAAAATTAAACCCCAGAGACACAGGGCGCGGGGAATGGGGGGATAGGAGGCAGTGGTCATTTTTATTTAAATATCATGGGACAGAGTTACCCCAGGAAGCTGGAGGATGTGGGGTGGGGGTGGAGAATACCAGGAACGGACTTCTGGTCACAGGCAGCCTCACTTCCACATGGGTGGCTGGCTGTAAAAGTCAGCACTCAAGTGTTTCACGCCCCTGACAAATACCGCACTCTCATCCGAGTGAGAAAAGAAGAAAACTTTTCTTTTTTTTTTGAGTTGGAGTCTCACTCTGTCGCCCAGACTGGAGTGCAGTGGCCGCTCTCGGCCATCGCA